CCCCCCCCCCGCCACTAGACCCTACCCACCCCGTTACATATGTCTGAAAGAAGATTCTGAGTGGGGCTTGTTTCATCCCTGGGGAGGCAGGAAGTACATGGAAATAGGCTATCACCTGAGAATGACCTAGAGCTTCTTTTCTGGTCATAGAGAATTATCAAATTCTGCAGAATGAGTCCCACCCCCCGGGGTGGGGGGCAGGAACCCTTCACTGGGGCAGAAGGGTGGAAGTGGTTTGGGCAAAAGAAGAGGCTCTCTCCCAAAGGCCTTGGCCATGGAGATCACAGAGTCTGAGTCCTTGCACACGTAATCTAATTTGCCAGAAATGTTCCTTGTTTGCCTTCTATCCTGCACTGCCAGCTACACCTTGGCCTCACAGGGCCATCTGAGCAGAGGTAACACCATCACGCCCTCCTACTTCAGGCCATATGTGTCGGCCTGAGCACACCACATGGGATGACCTGGGTTCCTACCACCTTCCTTTCTTTTCTTACAGTGGGAACAGGGCTGTCCTTCTGAAGGAGCCCTGGGAGGGTCTGCTGCCCTAAGCATACCCATGCTCCTGCCAGGGGCTCTGTACATCTCTGTAGAAAGGAGGAAAGGCAGGGAGGTTCGGGGAAGGGAGAACAAGGCAGCTGGCTAGGGTGTGACATCTGTAGGAACGAGAGCACTGGTGGCCAGGAAGATCTCCTGGGGCCTGAGGGGGGCTGGGTTCTGATCCTCCTTCAAGACGCTGCTGCCATGTCCCACCCCCACCCAAAGGTGGACCCAGGGAGCCCCACAGCCAGCACACAGGGGCTCGGGAAGCCGTGAAGCGCCTGGAACACAGTGCAGCCAGGCCGGGGACGGTCAGATACATATCCCAACACAACAGCACTCAAAGAGATCAAAATGCATTTAATGTGGTCTAGTCTCATCGCCTACATCTTTAGATACAGCTATGTATTGAAAATAACATGAAAATTCTCCAGTTTCACCATTTAAAATAGATTTGACATTCTATGACCTCACACAAGGCAGACACCCCACGTAGGGGCCTCCCGAAGGGGGCTCCTTCCGCACCACTCCCGGGCCCCTTGGATGGGCAGGGACTGAGCGGCACAGCACCGACAGAGGTTGGGGGGTAGCCACAGTGCTCTGAGCAGCAGACACACCGCCCCACTGACACGTGCACACACACCCCAAGACCACACACACCCGCACATACATGGTGTTCATTCAGACAGACATACTACGGCCGGCACATGATCCAGGTGCAGATGCCCACTTCCAGATGCCTCACGTTGGCACTGACTGGATGATCAGGGCAGAGGACCAGGAGCTATCAAGTCAGTCAGTGGTCAGTGCCAAAGTCTGAGGGCAGTGTCCAGTCTGACCAGTGTGCACCCAGCCTTGGCCTGGTGAGTGTCAAACCAGACCCCCGTGGGGAAGATAAGCACACACACACACACACACACCAGTGCACACACGCACACCAGTGGGTAGACACACATATCTGGACATGTCAAGTATCCACATCATCACCTCAGTGTCACCCACGTGGAGAGTCAGGTGTGCACACACATACGTGCACATACGTGTGCACACCTTCCCTCCCCACACACGCCCCCGGGGCCAAGTCTCCCTTGCTTCTGCGTACACTCAAGGCTCCTCATAGCAGTCCTCGCAATCAAGTGCACTAAAAGGGGACTAGTTTGGTCTTTAGCACAAGCAATAAATAAACATATAAATAAATAGATAAATAGAGAAATGGAAGGAAGGAAAAAAAGAGGACAGAAGAATTTGAAAACGCAGCATGTGCCTGCCTTTGGTGAGAGATGAAAGGCAGCTCAGGCTGCCCTCCCTCGAGCTCTGGGGCTGGGTCGTTCTGGTGGATGAGGGCATGGGAGGACAGGCCTGAGAGGCAAACGCACCAGGCCACTAAAGTGGCAGGGACCTGGGGCCCCTGAGTCTGCTCAGGATGCAGAAAGTACACAGCTTCCCCACACAGGCCTGGAAGGACAAATTAGGGCACAGGGCACCACCCAGCCTCCAGGGACTGAGGCCACCCTTCCCTCACTTGGCGATCTGGGGTGGATAGTGGAGAACCAAGCACTCTTGTGCCAATACATCCCCAAGAACCCCAAGGCTAAATCTGGGAAAGCCAGTCAGACTTTTAAGCCGAGGGCCAAACCCAGGAGTCCAGAGGAGCTGAGGCTCCTCTGGCAGATCCTGAGATGAAAGAGCAGCCTAGAGCTAAATCTTCTAGGCCAAAAATCTTCAGGCTGGGTCTGAGGCAGGGCAGGATGCCTCAAGTCTTGCCTAGCTCAAGGTGAGGGGCCGAGCTGTGTCTTTGTCCTATCTCAGGGACCTTTCAGAGAAAAAATAGCCTGTGCATGGGCTCTGATCCTCAGGGAGGACAAGCAAAGAGGCAGGAGCCCCACCCCAGGGCCCATACTCTCCCTAACTCCCTGCCCACTCACCGTGTGACCTTTACCTCCCCTTCCCCACTTTCAGCCTCAGTTTCCCCTCTTGGACCACAGAGTTATTGGTGCCTTCTTGTCCTGAGCATGGGGGCAAGCAGCCTGGGAAAGCAGGCAGGAGACACAAACTTTCTCATTATTGCCTTCCTGAAGGCCTTGCCCAGGGAAGATGGGTTTTCTCAGCAGCCTCAGGAAAGGCTGGGCTCCTCCCAGGCCTGGCCTCACAAGATGTAAGAACAAGGCAGAGCCAATTTACTTGTGACAAGAGGCCTCCAATCTCTTCCTGATCAAGGTTCCTGGAGTCAGGCCTGTTCCAGGGCAATGGGACTGAGGTATCTCTGGGCCCTAACAGTGCATCTTGCAGGGAAGTGATTGTCAGCATCTAGATCCTCTGTGGTCCCTGTCCTCAGGGAAAGTGAGAAGGGAAGCAGAAGGAGTGCTCCATCCCGCAGGCCCCTGAAGCCTGAACAGGAATTCTTCATTCCATGGCCACTTTTTAAATTCATCTTTGAATGAATATGACCCCAGGTCATGGGTGGGAGGTGGTGACAATTCTACTTCCCTAAAATCTTTCCTCTGACCTTCAACAGCAGACCCCAAAATGTATTGCCTGAGGTATGTAGGGGAGGAAGGCAGGCAGGAGTGTGGCTGTATGTCAGGGGGCACAGTCACTGCCACCTTCCCAGGGCAGATGGAGTGGGGAGGGGAGGGGAACAGGCATGTCCAATAAAAACAGAAACAACTCAAGTCGAACAACCTGAAGTCTCTTAAGGCACAATTCCCCTGTGGGCCCAGTGGGAAGGCTGATCCTTTTCCACTAGGTGAGGGAACCCAGCCTCCCTTTCCCCTTCCCAAGGAGCCTCCCATGTTTCCAGCTGCCTCTCATCTGCAAGGGACGCAGGCCCTGGCCGAAGTGGAGAGAGAGGCAAAACATGGGCATGGAGGCAGGGATACCCTTGAGGGCAGGTCCCACACAGCCCTGGGACCACCTCTGAGGTACAACATCAAACTCAACAAGAGCAAACCAGTTTCTTCCCCAACCCCATCCCAATAGCATCAGAAAGCTTTTTATTATGATCATTAACATCGTCTTGGTTCTTCTGTCACAAACAGAACCTAATTCACCCCTAAGCCTGATGAACTGTGGGGGCTCTAGCACACATGGGGGAGAGGTCAGTCCAGCCTCAGGAAACCTTCTGGAACATCTCTGCATCTAGCCGCTCGCATTGCGGCAGACCAATGGGATTCTTATTGTCCTTCCCCCACAACCCCATGAATTAAAAATATTTTTAATTGCATGTTATTATTATTTTTTGTAAACAGTCTTACCCAAGATAAGGTTGAGAAAGCTGGAATCTGATGTTTCTCCCCAAGTTAAAAACCATAGAGATGCCTGTAGCCTGCCAGACTGTAACCACAGAGGTGGACCACTGCAGGGTGACTCTGTGCAGGCTGCAGCTCCTTCTCCAGGAAGAAGCCCCTGGCTCCTGTGGCTGGACCCCCAGGAGGCCACTTTCCTGACCCTGTGCCACCTCGGCTTCTGAGGCTGTGGGCTGCCCTCTCTGGCCACCCACTCTCCCACTAACTCTCCAAGGCTATTGTGAAGAAACATAAAACGACTAAAACGCTACTGAGTCTGCAACCCAGGGCACCTGGCCCACTCTGCTCAAACCCAGTGCCCCTGAGGGACACTGGGCCACTCCCTGAGGGAGCTAAGCCTTGCACTAGGCCACCAGTGGTTCATATCTCTGACTCTCGCCTGTAGGGCCGCTGCTCAAGGGCTCCACCACCAGCCTGGAGCCTGTCAAAGTCGTGCCGAGGCTGGGGACTGAGGCCCTCTTGACTGCAGCCATCCTGGTCTCCCTCTGCCTCATCCTCCTCATCACGGCTCAGGAAAGCCAGCTCGTTCTCATAGCAGAAGGAGTTGGCACCGGGCAGGAGGAACTTGTTCTCTACCAGGTCCTTGGCGCTGCAACGGGGCGTGGAGGGCACCTCATAGGTCTTGTGAAAGTGTGAGTAATCGATCTTGTACTGATTTTTCTCCTCAAAGAGCACTGGCTCGAAACGGTGGCCCCATAGGATCTCATTGGCCAGGTAGGAGCTGCGGGCCTGTGTGGTCATGGCTGTGGCCTCCACCATGCCCTCAAGGATCACCACGATCTCAAAGTCATCTGTCTCCAAGTCCTGCCGGCTGATGCCAAACAGTGGGCTGGCCTCATCAATCTCATGCAGGATGGTGATGGGTGACACCAGGAAGATGCGGTCCAGGCCCTTGTCAAAGCCCACATCAATGTCTATCTGGTCCAGAGGGATGTATTCGCCCTCCTCTGTGACCCGAGGCTTGATGAGCTGGGCCCGGACATGGGCCTCCACGATGTGGCTCTTGCGCAGGTTACCCACGCGCCACATGAGACACAGCTTGCCATCACGCAGCGCCACCACGGCATTGTGGCTGAACAGCAGAGTCTGTGCTCGCTTCTTGGGCCGTGCCATCTTGGCCATGATGGCTCCGATCATGAAGGAGTCAATGATGCAGCCCACGATGGACTGAGCCACCACCATAAAGACTGCCACTGGGCACTCCTCAGTTACACAGCGCAGCCCGTAGCCAATAGTAGTCTGCGTCTCGATGGAGAAGAGGAAGGCTGCCATGAAGCCATGGACCTGCATCACACAGGGGGTGCGGCCACGACTCTCGGCTGGCTCCAAGTCACCATGGGCCACAGCAATGACCCAGAAGATGACGCCAAACAGTAGCCAGGAGGCAAGGAAGGCCAGCGAAAAGATGAGCAGCATGTAGCGCCAGCGAATGTCCACGCAGGTGGTAAACATGTCGGCCAGGTAGCGCTGGGACTTCTCGTCCATGTTAGCGAACTCGATGTTGCACTGACCGTTCTTCTTGACGAAGCGGTTGCGGCACCGGCGCCTAGTGTGGACCTTGCCATTTCCAAAGCCATTGGCGCCTGACATGGTGACCAAGTGCAGCCCGTCCTCCTCCGATGACACGATGCTGTAGGGGTTGGCCCTACTGGCCGCGGTCATCCCGGGGGCCAGAGGGCCCTGACCTGGCCCTAGGCTTGCTCCAGGCGGAGAGGCTCCTGCAACAGAGAGGACAGGGGTCTGCTAAGCAGAGTAGATGGCCTCTCCCCTGCCCCCTCCAGTGCCCATATCCATGACCCCCATCTGCCCTCCACCCAGATGTCTTCCCCCCACTCAAACCTGCTCATCTTGGAAAGTGGACTCCTAACAGCTCAGATCATAAACTTCAAATTCACCCCAACTCCTCTGACTCCCCAGACTCAGGGCTCTGTTTTCAAAATATGTTTGGGATACAATCTCTTCTTCTACTCTTGTGCCCCGAGTCCCCGTCACTGCTCACCTAGACCAGAGGCCTCCTTGCCAACATCCCTGCTTGTGCCCCAATGCCTTAATCCCTGAAGTAGTCTGAATCAGATCCCATTCCTTTCTCTGTTCAAGGCCAGTGGACCTCTGGGACCTAAAGGACCTGCTCAGGTGGGTTCTTTAGCCCCCCTTGTTTGCCTTGCCGACACCCTTTTACTCCACATCCTCCTGCCACCCATTGCCCTGCCACCCTCAGACTATGGCTCCAATGCACCATCCCCAGAGGTCTCACTGTGCCTGAAGACTTCCCATCCCATCCTGCAGTCACTGCACAGCACTGAGCTGCCAGTGGAATAACAGCAGCAGTGACAGCTAGGATGATGCAGGCCGTTGCTTGGTTGCAACCCCATGGTCAGAGTTCCAGCCCCAAGAGCAGAACTTTCCTCTTCTGCTCATCACTTTCTGTCTCACCCCCTGGACAGGACAGGGCCTGCCAGTCTGGTCCCCCATCACCTCGTACACTCTGAGTGAGGTCCCACCCACATTCCTGACATCCTCACAGCTCACCCACTGTGCCTCTATATGCACCAAAGGTCATGCCTATGAACTCCTTGTCACTAGAGATGGAACGGGGTGGCCCTAGAGTGGGGTCCCAATCAAGGGTCACTTAAGTTTTCCTCAACCTCAGCCCAGAGGACTTTCTGATTCCTGCTTCTTTCTTCTCTCTAAATGAGGACAACAGGGCCACTGCCCCAGCACATAGGAGCACTGAGAGTGTCATCTGCTCCCATCATTACCTTTGGCCCACAGGCCCATGGGGTGACTCAACTCCACACATACCCATGCACACAGTCCTCCCAGTGCAGCACAGCCAGCAGAACAAAACCTGCTTTCAGGCCTGGAACACCCTGCAACATCCCCTCCCCCAAGCCCCACAGGCTCCACTCGGGCCAGCGGTGCCAGGCTGAGCTAGGGGTCACAGAACTGCCTGGTCCTGTGGCTACTGACATCATCAGGACTTTAGCCTGTCTGGGCTTGGCTAGGCGGATGACAGGGCAGAGCTGGGGCTCCCTAATATGGACAGAAGACTGAGGAATTGGGCACATGCCTCCCTCCCTACCACACACCCTCGATTCTCACCCATCATACCACAAGGTTAGAGCCAGACAGAGTTTCAGGGCCCTGATCACCTGTCACCACATTACCAGGAAGAAGCACTGAAGCCTCCCAGGAGAAGGTCCCAGGGTGGCCAGGCACACGCCGTGGGTTGTATGCCCTGCAGAGCTGCTGCAAACCTCTCAGGCCCTCCAAGGAGTGGCGCGCTACCCTATTCTGCAGACAAGGACCTGGAGACTCAGCAACCAGAAGAGATTTGCCTGAGACTCTGGGCAGCAAGACCAGGATTCAGCTCCATCTGTGCAGCACAGCTCCTGGCTAAGTCCATAACAGCCAGGGTCTTAGAGGGGAAATGGCCTCCAACCTCTGCTCTCAACACCAGGTAAGAGTAAGACCATGTGATCAGCCAGATTGGGAAGCACTCCCAGGTGAAAATCTGTCACTGTGCTGAGAGCCCGCAGTCTGGCTCCCAGCTACATGTGTTCCCAGCTACAGAGACCTGAGAGCCATAGGAAAAGCCAGACACAGCCACTGCCCTCAGATCACCCCCAGCAACCCACAAGCGTTGTCACTTCTACTCTCTGAATGAGGGTTCAGAGAAGTTAAGGGCCCTCCACCTGCACCAAGCCACACGGCCAAAAACAGCTGGAAAGCTAAGATCCAAACCACTTGTGTCTAATGCAGTCTGCCTCTGAAGATCTCCAGTACCAAAGAAACACCTGTCTCCACTCTGCTGTTGTCCCCCCAGTGATGCTTCAACTGACCACCTCACCATGGGTCTGAGGAGCTGAGACCTGATGCTGTAATGGCAGCGGCTGCTTCTGCCTGGGCCAGGAGGCAGAGAGTTGGCGAGGCTGGGGAACCTGTGGGCTGTGCTGGGAACATGATTCAGCCCCAGATTCTGGGACCCTCCAGGGGCGAGTGGTCAGGGTTGGGGCACTTAAGTGCCGGCGAGAGGTTGACAGATCCTGGGGTATGGGTTTTCGTGGCCTAGAGACCTGGAGAGTCATCCAGCGGGTCATAGCTGCTTGAGAAAAAGCCTGCAGAGAACATAATCATGAGAATCAAAGGCCTGGAGGCCTTGCTTCTGGCCAGCTACCAGTAGGCAAGGTGCTGCAATGGCTCCTGGCATCTCCACCAGGACTGGACACTTGGGACCCACCTAGACAGTGACAGGCAGACCCGGAAACTCCTACTTCTGTTGATGTTCCTCCTAAAATCACACAGAGAAAACCAACAAGGTCAAATTCACACATGCTTCCCCATTTTCCAGAGCTAGAAGCTGACCTGAAGCAAAGTCACTTGTCCAAAAATACCCAGGAGCTGAGCAGCAGAGATACACAGTCGCAACCCAGAGCAGCAGTCCTTGGCCTCTTTCAACCCCACTCTATTGAGCACACGTGTGTGTGTGTGTGTGTGTGTGTGTGTGTGTGTGTGTGTGAGAGAGAGAGAGAGAGACACACACACACACACAGACCACTGGTATGAGCAATAGTTAAATGAATACAGAACCATAAAGAAGAACCAGAAGAGATTCATGAGCAGAAACTACCACAAGCCAAGCTTGCCCAATGTCCCAAGAACACTCCCACACAAATACAGACATGACAACAAGGTTACACAATTGTGAGGTCTTTAAGAGCTCATTTTAAGAAATGTGGGTCAGTCCCCTCCTCCAGAGATATGCAGGCCTCTTTGGTGCTTGGCTCAATGGGATGCAAATGGTAAAATTGGATAAGAAAAGGAATGGGGAATTGGTTTTGCTGCAAGAGGCCTTAGCAAGCAGGGAGGCCAGCTCTGTATTTTATAGAGGTAAAAATCATAGCCCAGAGAAAGAGAGACTTGTCCCAGGTCAAGACAAGTTAGGACCACTCTAGGAAGGCCTAGGTGACCAGTGGGGCTCACAGGCCTCACTGGAAGAGGGTAGGAAGGGATGCTGGATACTACCTGAGATGGACAGGACAGTTCCACATTGAGAGGGCTCAAAGCCAGCCCAGCAGGCAGAGCTCAGAGGCGAAGGGATAGATCCAACCAGCGGTGGTGAAGTCGTCTCAGACCTGCAGCCTTGCCACCTGCTTCTTGCCAGTCACAGTGCCTGCAAACACAGCTGGGAGCACCAGCTGACACTTGGACTACAGCTTATAGAGAGGATGCCACACCACAGCTGCCACCCAACCCAAGGGTGGGGACTGAGAGTCAATGGGAGGGGCCTCCGGATGGAGCAGGACACCCCATGCCCAGTCCTGAGGCTCTGGGCACCTCAGGTTTCTGTAACATCCGGGAGGAGCCAAGATGGCCTGCATTCACATTCCCGGTTCCAGGGAAGTACTGAAGGGAGGGACAGGCTCGAGGCTCCTACAAGAGAGCATCAACAGAACCTCCAGCAAAACCCCTGACTGCCTGGACCCTCAGAGCTATGAGCACACTCGTCAAAATGTGTAGACCACTTACTCCCTCCCAGATGCTCCCATAAAAGTTCTAACAAACTCACTCACTTAATCCTTATAATAACATTGTGACTGCCTATTATCTCCACTTCCTAGTGAGGAAACTGAAACTCACAGAGGTCACCTTGGAAGGACAGAGCTTCCAATCTAGGGGTGGAGACACAACAGCACCCGTCACCACAGGCCCTGATGCAGTGCTGTATCCATCTTGGTCCTGTAGATCCTGCATTTCCATTTGGGGACAAGACATACAAACAGCCCCAAACTCACACCCATAAGTAGAGGTTTAGGGACCCCCACCAACACTGACCTATGGCCACCTGCCTTGGTTTGGAACATCCAGGGACAGGACACCTCCTTCCTCATGAAGATTCCTTAAAAATACTCCATGCAAGGAAGGCCAGTGCACTGCTGCAACTTCCTCCCCCCCCCACTACCACCACCTCAGGTCACCTCCATCTACCACCTCAGGCCTGTGACAGATGTCACTAATTAATCATAGAACTTTCCAATGCTTCCAGGATAACTTTAGAATCTTTCCTAATCCAGTCAATATCCACCAGGTTTAGCCTAAGAGGCTCCAATAAGGCTTCCAGGCCTTCTTCACAGGAAATCAGGAGCCAGGCAGGTTTAGTGTGCAGAGTTCTCTCTCATGCCAGGCCTTGCCCAGAGAGTGGAACCACAGTGGAGCCAGACTGGGGGACAGTGAGGAGGGGTATTCCTGGTGGGAGCATGGCCAGATCCAGGAGCTAGAGGCTGTCTAGTGAGAGCCAAGCCTGGTGTGGAGGAAGATGAAGAGTTGGTAGGGAGTTGGCACTTTTGGAGGAAGATAATCTCTCATGACCGACCACATGCGCAGGCGTGGCTCCACTGACAGATGCTCTGAGTTTTGGCCTTGTGCTCAGCCAAAGACTGCAGACATTGGGGTCAGTGAGATGCAGGCCTTCTGTGCTCAAACCGATGAGGCCCAGGACAGAAATGGTCACCATGAGTCAGGACGTACTGCAGAAAGGGTGCGGGCAGGGCAGCTCTTACATCTTTGAGCCCTCAGCACTACAGGGCCCACTTGCTCTGACTCCAACAGCCACCGTCAGCATCTTCTCGCTTGGAAACACTCTCTCTGGCCCCTGGAGCACATTCTACACAGGTATGGGCAGCTGATGTTATCGGGAGCAGGAAAAACATTCCAGATTTCTGACTGTGGATGGCAGGCCTCTGAGGGTCATCCCCCACTCTGCCTACCTTGCTGCCCAGCTTGGTGGACTACCACCTGTCCCTGTAGTAACTACTGTACATCATTAATACCCTTCAGCCAGGGACTTAGCTCAGTGGTACTGCGTCTGCCTGGCAAGGGCAAGGTCCTGAATTTTATTGCTGGTACCAAAAAATAAATAAATTATAAAAGAGTACTCCTTTGGCTGGCTCCTTCCATTCTTGTCTCATTTCCTCACTGCCTTCTGGCATGTCCAGAGTTTACTTCCCACTCAAGTACTTGCACTGGGACCTTTGTCTTCTAGGACCTCCAGTGGCCTCTGCTCTATAAAGGCTCCAAAACCAGGCTCCCTGCCTAGCACCTGTAATACCACATGGCCAATGTGGCATCTCTTCTCTAAGCCCTCTTCCTCCTCCTTCTCCTCTTCTCTCTTTCCCTCCCCCTCCCCCTCCTTCTCCTCCTTCTCCTCCTTCTCCTCCTCTTTCTTCACTTCCATGAAATCTTTCTGGATTCTCTAGTCCTCAGATTTTTCTGTTAGGGCCAGCAGCCACTTTCTACTTTGCACCCTTGCATAAGAGATGATCTGCCTGGCCCCATTTCTGATAGACCTCAGAGAGCAGAGAAGATGCTATGAGCCTGGCATAGAGAAGGCCCAGGAAATGTTCCCAATCCAAATGAAGAGGACAAAGCACAAGCAGTGAATAGAGGGATGCATGAGAAGACATGGAACCACAAATGAGGACACAGATATAAACAGGTCTATGGTCAAGCACATGGACAGATAAATCAGGCTGACAGGTGGGTGGGCTGACAGGGTAGATAGGGCTAACCAAATAGATGGATGGGTTAGGTGGGTGGAGGCTAGGGTGGGTGGATGGTTGAGCAGATGAATGAAGGGAAATGAGTAATGAATGGATGGAGTGGGTGGGTGGATGGATTAGTGAGTAGATGAATGGATGGGTAGGTCAGTGGGTGGATGAATAGATTGGTGGATGGATGGATGGATGAATGGGTAGGTGGGTGATAGGTAGATGCATGGCAGATGAAGCTACTGGATAGACGGCAAGTGAATGAGAGGTCAGATAGGTGGGTGGATGGGCAGAGAAAGAGACAGATGAATGGGTGGGTGGAAGCACCAATAGTGTCTGGCAGATGGACACTGAGCAGCACAGGTACATGCCGGGAACCTTGATCTTACCTCTCAAGTCTATCTTCTAAGTTATGGTGCTCAGTGGGCAAGTGACTGTCTTCAGGGCTGAATTAGCAGCAGCTGCCATTTTCCAGGGCCCAGCTGGGAAGGATCCAGTCACTTGTAGACCCTAAAATGAACAGAGCCAAGCCAAATTACTGCACACATTTCTGCTGTCCTCAGAGGGACTCAGAGACCAGGACTTATCATGTAAGCACACATTTCTGCTCACTTCCGCCAAAGTCCCTTGGGAGGTGGAGGAAGCCTCCAGCCTATACCTCTGACGCTCCTACACTTTCACAGCATTCAAGCCATGTCTAAGGCAACTATCTAGAACCAGACAAAGGAAAAATAAGACTGGTCCTCACAGAAAATATCAGCTGACAATTATTAGTGCCTACTGCATGCCAGATACCATGGTAAATCTTTTACAGCATTATCTCCTGTAATCCTCATAACCCCAAAAGGTTGGAAATATTTGTACTCCATTCCAGAGAAGTAGGTAATATGATTCTCCTACAGTTGTAATGGTGAACCTTTTAGAGCTTTCAATTATAACAAACAGCCTGCCATGGCAAATGTGCCATAAGTTTGCCACCACTGTCCTAGAGTCACAAGGGAACTTGGGTCCCCAGACTCTGCTCCTAGCTATCACCTGCCAAGCCTTCCTAATGCCACCCCTGGGACAGCTGGATGGATAAGTGCATGGGTGAATGTATGAATGGTCAGGTGGTTATATGGGGAGCTGGAGGACAGATGGGTGGGTGAGTGGATGAAGAGTGGATGCATGAATAGACGGATGGACAGGTGGACAGATAGATGGGTTGATGTGTGGGTGGGTGGATGGATGAGTGCATACACGGACAGATGGAGAGCTGGATGGACAGATGGGTGGATGAGTGGTTGAAAGACAAACGGATGGATGGATGGACAGATGGATGAATGTCTAGATGGATGGATGTGTGGGTAGATGGGCAGATGGACAGATGAGTGGTCAGGTGGATAGGCTGTTTGGGCAGGTGGGATAGATGAATAAGCAGAGGAATGAATGGGTAAACTGATTACTGCACAGGTGGATAGACCTTAGTAACTTGCCAGAGACTTACATTGTCCATATACACACACCCATATGAAATCTGCAGTTCCCCAACATCAATTTCCCATCTGTCCAAGGTCCTCTGCCTTTCCTGCTGGGAGGATCATGGAAGAGGGTGGTGGGAAGGGGCTATGTGAATTTCCAGAGGTTTGCCATCTGAGATGCTCCCACCTCCCAGGCACTGGGTCTACAGAGCTCTGCCCTTTTCAAGGGTACAGTGAGTCTGGTTTGTCACTGTCACACTGGCTTTTCCGGCTGGGATTAAGGGAATGGTTGGTGAGTCACCTCTATATCATAAGCCTCTTGGGCAGGTGACACTGATAGGTTTAGAGGTGCACAGACATGGGTTCCAATCCTAGCTCTGCCCTTCACAAGCTCTATGACTTTGGGTGAGTCACCTCCCCTCGATAAGCCTCTCAATTCTCTGCCCTGCTTCCCAATCCCTCATAATTCCCTGAGCATCTGTCATGCCATTTGTCTCTCAGCTCTTCCATTCTCAAAACTAGTGGGAAAGTTGAGTCCTGGGAAGGCTCCATTCCAGACTAATGTGACACAGGTGAGGGTCAAGAGGGTTGAAAGAGGCTGATCGTCAACAATTGTCAATGGGGAGCCAAAGAAGGTTCAGAATAGGGGCCAGGGATGTAGCTCAGTGGCACTGTGCCTGCCTCACAAGTGCAAGGTCCTGAGTTCAATACCCGTACAAAAAGAAGTAGGAGGAGGAGAAGGATGAGGAAGAGGAGGAGGAGGG